CAAGAAACTTTGCTGCTGTACCATGGGTGCAGCAGGCACAATGATATTACGCAGCGCCTGAAAAGGCTAACTTCCGTCAACATAACCAACGTAACCACCTGCTTGCACAGGGAGCGTTCTGGGGACTATGTAGGTACACGATGTAACTACAGAAGAGTCAAGTTTTAATAGGAAAAATATCGAAACTCTTTGGTCATTTTTGAGCGAGATGCTAACGGTCTTATCAGATTCAATGATCTATGCTAAGCTGCAGCTAAAAGTGCTACCACCAGACCCGGAGATCGGCTGAATGGATTCGAAAACGGTAAAACTCAACTGTTTAACTCTAGGGGAGTTGGAAAATGAGCCTATTTTCAAAAATAGTGGAGTGTTCCTTTAAAGGTAACTGTGTTGCCTCTTGAGGTTTATTTCAGCCACAATAATGCAAAAACACATATCATGTTTGTACAACTTCCAGTGCTTAGAACTAAAAGTCAAAAATACGTATTGTGTTTATCTTTGACTGACTGGCATCTCTTATCTAAGAGGAGACCTGTTAGTTTGGTTTGAGCGTTTGTTTGTGTCTTTGAAAGAAACCCCTTTTTTCTTTATTTATTTTTGTGGTTAGGGTTAGAGAGAGAAAATGTGTATGTTGTGTGAGAGAGAAAAGAGCACTCGCTTAGGCTCATCTGTGGAGTAGAATAGGTCTGTCTCTTTTTTTCTTTGGAATTTGTGAGCAGCTTGATGTATTTGACATCTGCGTGACAGGCCACTGCTCCTCAAGACTAGCCCAGAAACTGCGCTGTCCAGACCATTTCTGTGTGTGTGTGTGTGTGTGTGCATGGAATTGTGTTTGCACATCAGAGCAGCCAAGCATTGCCACCGGCGGGAAAAAAAATACACACAAACACAAATCCACTGGCCTTTTTTAAAATACCCATCGCTGCTTCTGTCATGAGATAAATTTTGACACCAACAATGAGTGTGTGTCAAGTTGTCAGTTTATCTCTGTCTCTTCCTTCTACGCATCCACTTTGCCTCATTCTCGCCCTTTTCCTCTGCCTTATTCCTCCCTTCTTTTCGTCTCTCTCAGGCCTTTAAGTCAAGATTGTCCATGAATAGTGCATGTTATTTTGTTTTTTAGATTTCTGTTTGACAGTCTGCCTGTCCTTTTTATTGTTTTGGTTTAACGGAAATAACCAGAAGAATCAAGTCCAGACCGGGCCTGAACCGAACCCTCCAGAGCATCTTTTTCTCAAGAGTCTCCTTGTACTGTTATTGCAAAACCTTGCAGTAACTTTAATGGTTATACAGCCATATTTCCACTCACTAACACATCCACACACTCTCGCACGTGCACTCATGTCCTTTCTCAAATCAGGACGTAACCTTTTTAATGCCTTTACTTTAATGTTATTAACAGGACATTTTATTTTACTCTAAAAGTCAAGACCCATTTGGGCGAATTCTAGCCGCTCGGCGCACTCACAAAAAGCCCTTCCCATGTGAAAACACTGCCATTATTAACATAGCTGAAATGTGATACTCGGTCTCCGTAAATGTCAGGGAATATAGGGCATATATATGGCCCTCTTTCTCCGTTAACGTCTCCGCTGTGCGTCTGCGTTCTTAAGGGAACAGCGTGGCCATTCTGCCGCGCTGCTTGATGGGGGAATTGGGTGCAGAGGCCGGATCGGGGTCACTGATGTAACACCCCCCACCGTCCCACCTGAGCGGGGTGAGAGAAGGCAGTCTCACTTGCACCTGCGGTGAAGAAACAGAGGACGTGTGTCGGAGAGGGACAGGAGTGGGTGCACTTGTGAAATTTATTTGGGTATCGGAGTTTTACGCCGGTTGCTGTTGGATTTACAGGTCGGAATGGAATGCAGCCCAATGAAACGCTCTTTGATGGGCAGAGCAGGTTGAGTTTTAACAGATGAGCGACGCATAGAAGGCCGTAGTTTATGTGGCTTTGAGAAGACCCTCTGCTGCCTTCTAGAGCCGTAAAAACCTGAGATGCCCATGAACTAGAGCACTATGGGATGGCAGCAGAGGGTTCTGGGAAATGTGCTCTGACTGGGAAGAGATACTTATGAAAGTGTGTGAAATTTTCCTCTTTTGGAGCTTTTTACTTTTGTAGATGTATGAATAGAAATATAATAAAGGCCAGTGTGGACTTTCTAATATGCTTCTTCGTGAAAATGCTGATGATGTCCTGAGAAAACACTGAATATGCAGTGCTTTTAAAGACAAAAAAAAAAAAAATCAAATTCTACGTTTATTTGTGGTTTTTGTTTTCTTTACAGAGGCGGAGGCTTATACAGGAACTGGGTGAGCAGAGGATTCCCTACCTTTCTCCTGCAGACCCAGGATTTCAGGAACTGGTTAGAAATTCATACAAATCTCCACAATGCTTCATAATTTTTTATCTATATGTACTCTACTGTTCAAAAGGTTAGGTTCAAGGTTCAAAAGGTTATATATATATTTAGCACGGATCTATTAAATTGACTAAAAGTGACAGTAAAGACATTTATAATGTTACAAAAGGTTTCTATTTCAAATAAACTGTTCCTTTGAACTTTATATTCATCAAAGAATCCTGAAAAAAAAAAGTGTTTTGGTTTCCACAAAAATATTAGGCAGCACAACTGTTTTCAACATAATAAGAAA